TTTCTTTCCAAAGACAACTGAAGGAAGTTTCTCCAACTCTGCTTCCTATTAGTTACAGTATCAGAAGAAATAAAGCTGTTTTTATCCAATAAAATGAATTTCATTTATAAAAATAGTCAAACATCTTGATTAATTTATGCTAATTTATGTTTATTTTTCTGAATACATAAAAGAAACTAGGAGTGTTAGTTTTAGAAAAACACATTTGTGCCCAAGGCTTAAGGACAGGCAAAGCTGTGACAAACACTAAGCTCCTACGTCTTGGTGTGATAGAAATGTTCAGCAAGGTGTCCCCTCCGGTCTGTTTTTGCAGGTGTGCAATTTAATTTCAGTGGGCTGGGTTGCTGCCACTGAAGAAACAACTCATTCAAAACCGAAACCCCATCTGGGAGTAGGAAAGGAATTATTTTTTACACACTGACAACAAGCAAGGAAAAGAAGTGTGAGACCTTGGCATTTCCTCATTCTGAAAGCCTGAATGATGCAGCCGTTGGAAGAACCCACTTACTCACCACAGAAAGACTGAGGCGGGAAGAAGCCTCTCTGGAGCTTTGTAGTCCAGGCCCCTGCTCGCATTAGGGATAAAATTGTGGTTGGATCAGGTTGCTCTTGCATGCAACAAACCTGCCTAAAAAGGCTACAGCAGTTTGTTCAAGCAGGCTTTTATGTATCCACTCCATTTTAGTTTGTATTAATAATTCAAGAAACCATTTTTAAATGCTGTTTTTGCAATCAATTAAATATTCCATTTTCTAAATGTCAAGTAAAAAATGCTTCATTCACTATTTCCTAACAAAATAAAATGTAAATTAAGTATTTGAATTAATGCACGTTATAACTGTGCGGTGCTTGTACAAATGTGAATAGATTAACATATCTACCAGGTTAAAAAGAGTGCCAATTTTAATGTAAAGTCTATATTTATCAGCATATTCGCATAGGTCTCAGCCAATGACAGTAAACCCACCGAAATAAAGTACAAATGAAGAATGAAGACGATTTAGCCTGTGAATAAAGTCGGCAATTTAGAGAATTTTGGTTTGAATCAGAACACTCCCAGGTGCTTTTGTCTGTGCACATGGGCATCTGTGCCCTGCTCTGCACGGGCTGGTACCTACAGCCCTTCCCACGGGGTGAAGGTGTCCAGCACTGGCATCTTGGAGAAGTGTTTGGAATGGTCAGTGCTGAACGGGAAGGGGCTCTTTGCCTGTCTGCTCTGTGCCGGGCTGGGGGCTCTTGGCAGGGCTGTCCCCTCTGCTGAGCGGCTCCTCAGACTGCGCAGCTCCTTGTGTGAGCAGAGTGAGTGAGTGTCCCCCTTCTCTGCCCGCTCCTGAGGTGTGTGTTTTGGGGAATGGAGGTACCACACCCTCCTTTGGTGCACTGCAAGGAATGCACAACCTGGCGTTGTCTCGGGGGCTCTGTCGACCCCAACACCGACACAAGCAGAGCTGCTCGTGGCCTCCTCCCTAAGCAGCCTGCTGTTTCATTTCTACCAACACACATCCAGATGGGTTTGGAAGCATTTTTCTATCATCTCTGCTCACGTTTCAAATTATTTAAGACACATGCTTTCTGGGGATGCTGCTTCACAAGCCACTGGAATGCACACCTGATCTTTGTGGCCCCTCATCTTTATGGGGTTTTCAGCTGTCCAGACATCCTCTCCCTGCCCCAAACCCCCCAGTTTAACTCACTGTGCTGACACAAGGTCTGTGAGCCACGGTCCTGGAGTTTCCAAAAGGTTTTCAGGCATTGCTGCTGCTGCTGGTGGAACATGCAGCACAGAAAATGCTGAGAAATACCCAAAGCATTTGAGACAACAACAAGGAAGAGGAGCTCATCTGCTGAAGGGTGGTCCCTCACAAACCAGACAGGCTCTTACAAAGCTCAGGGTTGACAGGCAGTTGGATATTAACATGGAAAACACCATTCCAGTGAGTTCTTGTCCTGCTATTTCACCTCCCTCCTGCTGGCTCAGGACTCCGTAGGTCTGGGGGTTACAGCTGTGTCCCTCAGCCCACCGGGTCCCAGCTGGCACAGGAACACTGGCTGCAGGAAACTCTGCTGTGTGGCAGCCCTGAAAACAAGGGTGCAAATCTGCTTCACTGCAAAAATTACACGGCTTGTAATGCACCATCGAGGGTACAGCCTTAAAGGTGCCAAGTGAGCCCTCAGAAATCAGAAACACTGGAATTAGCATCACCCCCGTGCTCCGCATTGCTGACAACTGTAATTGCTTGATGCAGCAGTAGGGAGTAGACTTCCCCCAGCCTGCAGCATTGATGCATCGTGTACAAGTTGCTGTTCCTCCCCTCCTCTTCCCTCCCCCAGAGATGACTTTGGTTTTGCAAAGACTTGAAATGCAGGTGCCCCACAGCCAGCTGGCACACACCTCATCAAACAGCACAGCAGTGCCTCCTGCTCTCACAGCCTCCCAACCCCGCTGGGTGCATGACAGAGACTCACTGGCTTCTGTAGAGCCCACTTGTGGACTACGAGTTTTCTGAAGGATTCTGACAACCTGAACCAAGTCCAGGACGTGTCACAGTGCATGAGAAGTTCTCGGTAGCCAACATGTCCTCACATCTGTAACCACCTTTCCAAATAAACAGCAGCTCCCCACAGGCACTGCTACCAGAGCACCAGCCAACGGGGACTCCTTTGACACGTGCCCCTTCTTTTGCATTCGTTCTTGTTTCCTGTTCTCAGGAAAATAAATCTCTTGCTGGCACGTGAACACACAGGCAGAGTAACCAGCACCTGCCAGATATCAATAACACCGTGTGGCATTGCCCAGAGAGGTGTTGGGTGCCCCATCCCTGGCAGTGTTCATGGCCAGGTGGGCTGGAGCCCTGAGCAACCTGTTCTAGTGGGAGGTGTCCATGCCTGTGGCAGGGGGTTTGGAATTGGATGATCTTTAAGATCCCTTCCAACCCAAACCATTCTATGATTCTATGATTCTGTGGCATGCCAGATCAGGGTGCTTTCCTTAGTCCCATATTTCTATCAGCTGGTGAGGTCAGCACTGAACTTCTCTGGGAAGCTCCTCGATCAGGGTGACAGAGCTCAGCCTTGGCTCTTTCGTTGCAGAGAAGTGGAGGTGATTAACAGAGCTAGGGAGCTGAAGGCTCTGCAATTGTCTAAAATCAGCTAATAAGCAATGTGTCTCCAGCTAAGTAATGGAAGACTAGGAACTGCCAAAAATAAGCTCCAGCAGTGTTTCCTGTTTTAATATGGGTAGCAAGAGCTAGCTGGAAAAACTCTCCTGATTATTGTTTTCCTAAAGAGCTGCAAAAGCATTCAAAATTCAGAGTGCCGTTTTTAAATGGCCAGGCTTCAAGCTTCTCAGAAACGCCACTTTCCAACAAGACACCTCAGAGCAAACCCCAGCTCGTCTCCCGCCAGGCCCCGCAGAGCTACGTGCTGACAGCACACACCTCTTGACCACACTGCGTGGCTGCAGCGATCTGAGCTGTCACCTCGCTAGCCCGAATGGCCACAGGGCTCTGGCAGGCGATGTGTCAGCCCCGCCACCGCAGCCGGGGCACCCGCAGCGCTCTGCAGCCGCTCCGCACGGCAGAGCCGCCGGAACCTCCCCGGACCTGCGGCACAAGCGGCTCCTGCAGCAGAGCCCTGCAGCGGAAAACTCTGCCCGCTTTGCCCGCAGCTCCTCCTTGGCTCCGCCGCCGCCGCTCCGCAGAGCCAGGGGTGACAGGCGGGGGCTGCCGTGCCAGCCTGACTTCTGCTTACGCCTGCACTTCCCGGAGCTGCTGTGCCAAGCGTTTTCCTGCCAGCTGCTCTGCCGTGCTGGCTGCGGCCGTGTCTCTCTCCCCGCGGCATCGCAAGGTGCCCAGCCCTGGGGGGCTGCGGTCTCCGTGCCCTGCACCTCGGGTGTCCCGGCACTAAGGAACGGGCATGGCTGTGGGTCTGCCTCACAGCCACTCCTTAGGGCTCTGCACTGGTGGTCCCCGAACCCTTTTTGCCGGCAGCAATCTTCCTGCTTTTCCTGGGAAGGCTTTACTGCGCACACAGAGGCGCTCAGGGCAGCAGCAGAGGGAGAGCAGCTGGTGCTCCCTTGACTCCCGGGAGCTCAGCAAGTGGGAGAGACCAAGCCAGCTTCCCACCACGCCCTGAAGCAAGCTGGGACTCCTGGGAAGGCACGGGGTGCTTCTCAAACCCCTGCCGATGGAACAGATGTTGCCGCTTTCCCCCCATAAAACAACGTGGGGTTTAAGGTACCCCAAGGTACCATTTCTGGGGTACCCTCAGCCTCAGGTTATCCTGGCCAGGCCTCAAATGCTGTCGTGGGTCGTTCCCAGCCACCACCGTGCCCCCAAGCAGAGGGAGACGCTCCCAGCCTGGCTCCCGCTCCTCCTTGTCCCCGTGGGCCCGGCGTGTCCCCGGCGGCCCAGGTCGCCCCAGCCCGGCTCGGCCCCGCGGTCCGGTTCCGATCGCGGTGCCGCGGCCCGGGAATGGTTCCACCGTTGCCAAGGGCAGAACCCGAGCGCTCGGACTTCCTGCGTCTGCCCTGCGCGGTGTGAGTGACTCCCGCCTGGCCACCGAGCAGCTCCACGATGCCGAAGCGAGTGGCGCACACCAAGTGGCTCCTCTGGCTGCTGAGTAAGTGACTGCCCTTGCCGGCCGCCTCAGAGCCTGCGGCTGGAGCCCTCCTGCTGCTGCTGCTGCCCGGCCCCGGCTGGCCCACAGGACCATCCCGGCTGGCCCGCAGGACCATCCCGGCTGGCCCACAGGACCATCCCGGCTGGCGCACAGGACCATCCCGGCTGGCCCGCAGGACCATCCCGGCTGGCCCGCAGGACCATCCCGGCTGGCGCGCAGGACCATCCCGGCTGGCCCGCAGGACCATCCCGGCTGGCCCACAGGACCATCCCGGCTGGCCCGCAGGACCATCCCGGCTGGCCCACAGGCCGTGTCAGCCCCAGCTCTGCCCGCCCCGGGCGGCTGGAGGCTCCCGCGGGGACTTAGGGTGGGGACAGAGGATGGCGCGGAGGCAGCAGGAGAGGGGGCCCAGCCGGAGGCAAAGAGGGGAGGGAGGAGATGTAGGGAGTCCCCCTGGACAGGGATGTGCCCATAGCATGGCGCTATAGGGAGCAGGGGAGCCTCCACCGTTGTGGGTGCCTCTGCAGGCTGGGGCTTTTGAGGGGAAAAATAAAAAAGGCACATCAACACCACCACCCCTCCCCCCCCAAAAAAAAAAAAAAAAAAAAAAACACACACACCAAAAAACTCAGCCTCCCTCCACAAAAACACATACACACACACATAAAAAGGAAACAACAAAACCAAAATCAAAACACTTCCCCCCAGTCCAAACCAAGCTCACAATAAAATCTGCCTTTTAAAGGTTTTTTTTGGGTTTTTCCCTTCCTTTTCATTCTTTATGACCCCTTTCTCCTGGGGCTCCTGGTTACCCCAGCACCCTGCAGGCAGGGCCAGCAGCTGAAGGGTTTGTCCCAGCACGCTGTGCCAGCGGACAGGAGCAGGCCAACCTGCCAGCCGCTCCTTCACCTCCAGCCGCCTGTCCCCGTCGAGGACAGCCCATGCCATGCCATGCCATGCCATGCCATGCCATGCCATGCCATGCCATCCCAGGTGTGTTTGTCCCGCAGGCACAGTGCTGGCCTTGCCGCGGGCGGCAGTGGCAGCGCCGGTGGCGCCCGTGCCGGGCAGCGCGCTGTCGGACAGGGAGTACGAGCAGTTCTTCGCCAGGCTGCACCCGCCCTGGCAGGCCAACATGTTCTGCCTGCTGCGCCAGGCCTACGGCTGCCTCAGCCCCAGCATCCTGCGCCTGGACCAGGACGAGAACCACGGGGAAATCCCCGAAGGTAAGGCCGTCGCCCACCCCCGGGCTCACAGGAGCGCGCAGACCTAGCGTGGCTGTTTCTCTGGCCCAAAATGCCACAAGACTGTGGGAATGGGATGGGTTGGTTTGGGCTTTACAAAAAGCAGCTTGGAGCAGACATTGGCAGAACTAGAGCACACCAGCTTTTGTGACCTCTCTGAGTGTCACTTTCACTGCTGCATCATTTTCCTGGAGAAAAAAAACCTTCTCCCAAAGGCCAGCTCTAGCCTCCTAAGCAGGAATTTGCGTGGCTTTTCCCCCCCTCCGTGTGTTGTGTGGCACCACCAAAAAGGGTTTGTCCCCTCGTAGGTTTCCTTCAAGCTCTTGTGGGCTGCTGTGACTCCTCCTCTTCACCCAGCTGAGCAAGCACAGCTGTCCCAGCCTCTCTTTCCAGGTCATGTAAAGCCAAAAAAGCCACAGCCACTTTGGTGGCCCTTCCTTTCTCCCCATCTCTGTTGGTGGGGTGGCAGGAGGAAAAAGTGGCCGCAGTTTTCTCAAGCTCAGCGTAGCTCCTCATCTCTTGCAGCTCCTTCCAACTTCATCTGAGGGTTAATGCAGAATCTTGGCTCATGGGCTCTCGTAGGTCTTTAAGAAAACTTGAGATGATAAGCTGCCTTTTTAAGTGTTTAACATTTCAGGAGCCAAGAAACATCCCAGTTCAGAAAGCACCATAGCAACAGCACCCTTCAGATCTCTGCAGTCATATTTTCCCTGCACCCCTGCATCAGAGAATTTAAGTGGTATAATTATATCTGTGCAGCTGAAAAACTTGGGACTACTTCTGTTGTATTTTTCTTCAGAGGAAAAAAAAAATAGGAGCAATTTTCTCATAAAAAAATATGTCTTTATATTTAGATATGAACGTCAATGAGCTGAATGATCAGCCAACTGTGCTTATTTGGACTGCAGCTTGAGGGCAACTATTTCTTGCTGGTTTCTGCAGCTGTGTTGGGGGAACGAGTCCCACCCCACATCACCAGACCCAGGGATGGGTCCTGTGCTCCTCACTCACTTTTGGGCACCTGCAATCCACTGTGCCCTGGTGCTTTGTGCACTCAGGGTCTGTCCCTGGCTCCTGTCCTTGTGGTGCCCAATTCCCCAGCACTGCTCTTTGTCATGTCCAGTCACACTCCCACTGCTGCTGCCTTCAGAGACTCAGTTCTCAAGAACAGAAGCATCTGGAAATGCCAAAAGATGGGACAGTTTTGCAGGTTGCCCTCTTTACCTTCTTTTCTCCCATCCCTCAGCCTAACACGCCTATCCAGCAGAATTTATTCCCCTTTGTGTTACCTTTTTTCCAGTTTGGGGGCTATTTTGGCACGTTTCAGCCAGGCTGAGAGGTGGAACAGATATGGCAGAGTGTGTGCCCTCTGATGTTTAGCCTCTGCAGTCCTCACAGAGCTGTGGCAGTGCTGTCTACACCCAGATATCCATGAGCATTGACTATGCCCATTCAGGTGTGGTGCTGAGGAAGGCAGTCACCTTGTGCTCTAAACAAAGCACAGTGTGAGGATCTGGAGTGCTCCCTACAATACCTTGTGCTTTAAACAAGGGATGGGGTGGGGTTCTGGAGTTTTCCCTACAAGCTGGATGTTTTTCCGGGCTGGGATCCTGGTGTGTGTCTGAAATTCTACTTTTGATGGTGCAGCTGTTTGCTCAGCACAAGAAGTGAGCACAGGCTAAAGGGTGGTGCATGAGCAGCATCAGGAGAGCAGTGCAATTTCACTGCTAGTGCCCTCCCTCTCAGCCAGCACTCCCCCTGTTCTCACAGGGCTGGCTGGGCCTAGAGCAGAGGGAGCACAAGATCACCCAGTTCTTCAGGGTTTTCTGCTCTCCTGCACGCCCTTGGCTTTCCTGCAATCGCTGCAGGAGCTGCAGCTCTGGAGTCAGCGTGCTGGCAGTGCTGGTCAAGACTGCAGTTTATGTGTGTACAGGCACAGGCTTTGCCAGCAGCATCCTGGCCCTATGGAACCTCCTCCATCCCCTACAAGGCTGGAATCAATGTCAATTTATAATGCCCTGAAGAATTTGTCTCCTCTGGAGCCATCTTCCTGGAGAAGCTGTCGCAGCCCCATTCCTGACCCAACAAGACCAGGCTGGATGGGTCTTTGAACAACCTGGTCCTGTGGAAGGGGTCCCTGCCCATGGCAGGGGACTTGGAACTTGATGATCTATAAGGACCCTTCCAAACCAAACCGTTCTCTGATTCTCTGGTGTTCCCAGGCTGGTCTGGTCATCTTTTTAACCGATTATATCATTATTTGCCTTTTTTCTCTTTTTCAAACCCAGCAAGGACTAATAACAGAGGCATCAGATCCTGGAAACAGGAAATTTGTGTCTCTGTCATAGGGAAGATAACTGTGTGAAGAAGGGCAGAAGGACACAGTGAAACCCTCAGGGGGCTGGAGGGAAATGGGATGTGGTGCCTGGAATTGGGAGCTCTAACAGCCCAAGGCTGTGATCTCCACCTTGGGGCACACAGCTTGGACTTTCCCTGCATCCACAAGCTGTCACCTGAGAGGGTCCCCATCTCTTGGTGCACACAGGCCTGCCTCCATCCCACATCTCTGTCTCTAGGGCCAGTCTGCTCTGAATTTCCAGAGGTGGTGCTGTTCCAGACCTTCTGCCAGTTCGCCCAGTACCGCTGCCTCAAACAGCAGTTCTTCATCAAGGTAAGGAGTGGGCTGTGGGACGGGTGGGGGGAGTATCCCCTGGGAAATGGAAGGCTGAGGAGGAAGGGAAGATAACACAGTGAAAGTTGTGTTTGTCCCTCTCCCCTCCACGCAGCGAATCCCGTGTTTGAGCGAGTCTCTAGCAAGCCCTTCCCCAATGGAGCCATCCAGCACCGTGAAACCCTCGGTACAGGGCAGAGCCTCCCCTGTCACACAAGGTACGGCTGTACAGAGCTGTGCTGGCACCCCTGCTCACCTGCTGGTCTCCTGTAGCTGCCCTGCACCCCTGCAGCTTTCTGTCTGGCCTCCAAAAGCCGCCTTCGGCCGCTCCATCCCTCTGTGTCAGCACCCAGGAGCAGGCTGTTCTGTCAGCTGCTGATGCCCTGCTGCAGGACAGCGTGGCAGACCTTCTCAAGTTCTCTCCTGCACTGTTAGCTCAGAAACCGTGGCCGACGAAGCACCCCACAGCCACGGCAAAGGCGCCCACGCCCTGGGAGAAGAGCAGGACTGTGCACCCACCAAATCTCTGGGCTGCCACCTCACCTTCCCGGACGGAATCCCCTGACGAACAAAACCTGAGAAAAAGCATCTGGCAGCTGATCCATTCAGCCCTCTCCTTGGATGCATCCTTGGACACCAAGGCCCCCTCTTGGAACTTCACCAGCCCAGTTCCAGGAGGCACATCAGAGCAGGAAACTCCCCCCCGAGGCAGGTGAGGGGAAGTCTGCTCTTTCTGGGTACCACACACCACCCGTGCAGGACTGTCCTCGTGCACAGCAGCCCCAGGGCATCCATGTCCCTGCTCGGAGCAGCTAGTGAGTGTGGGCAAGTGTTCTGGAGCAAGCTGTCCCATCCAGAGCAGGAATGTTCCTAGGGAGCCCCCAGGCACCTCTCGTTCCAGCACAAAGTGAGCAGGGAGAGGGTGATCCAGCACTGTTAGTGCCTGAAAATGGCACTGTCCTTGTATCCTGGGCAAAGTGAGTTCAGTCTGGGCCTGAGCTGCAGGCAGGGCTTTGTGCTGTGTTTCCCCACACTGTGGCCATCTGCACTATGCAATCACCTCTGCACTCGTCCTCCTCCAAACACGTGTCCCAGGAGTCTGGGTGATGTGCAGAAACAGTGTCCTTGCAAACACAGGTCCTTGGGATGTGTCTTGCTGTGCTCCTTGCCTCCCGGTGTGCAAGGCAAAGCAGATGTTTCTTAAAGCAGCCTGACCTGAGAAATCGTCCCAGGAGTGCTCTGTCCTCACCCAAGGGGAGCTACAGCAGCCCTGGAAACAGCCAGGAGCCCAAAGCTGTGCAGGGCCACGCTTCTCCTCGAGCATGTGCACCTCTGTGCACTCTGGATGTGTGCACAGCTCTTCCTAGCATGTTTCTGGTTCCCCATTCTGGTTTTGGAGGCAGCATCACGGCAGTGCAGCACAGGGCCCTGCACCAGGCCAGCTTGCTGCAGCCCTGTCACACACCCTCCCCAGCTCCTCTGGCCTGTGGATGCATTAGGAGCTCATGGAGCATGTTCAGCTTTTCTCAGCTGGTCTGCCAGGATCTGTTTGCCTCTGTCCTCAGGTACCTGGGGCTGGTGACAGAGGAAAAAACCTGCAAAAGGATATTATGCTTTCACTCAAAGTCACTTTTTGATCCTTTGGTACCTTATGGCTGAGGACCATTTGCTTTGACTGAGATGCAAATATTATTTTGCTTACCAAGAGGGAAAAAAAAAAGTGTCTAGATGTGGTTTTCATGGAGAAGTCATTTTGGTTTCGCACTCTTGCAGGCTGGTGATGTTCCTGTAAGCACACAGATTTTGTGCCTCATTGCACATCTGTGGTTTCTCTTGAGCATGCTGCACACCACTGCCACAGCGCAGCCAGAGATTCACTTCTGCATGTAAAGATGAACTGCCTCATGTTGTTAAAGCCATAACTGTCTTCTTGCAAGCCTCTAACATATGTCATCCTCCTTCCTAATATCGTAGGAGGCTTTCACAGCCTGGCAAAAGTTTTGCTGGTGTATGTGCTCTCAGGCAAAATGGTGTTTCATTGAGGATTTCGTTCCCCCTGCCTCTGAAACTGAGCCTTGCTGTGACTGAGTTCTGTTGGGATTACTGGGGGACTGCTGTGATGGCAGATGACACTCGCTGCTCTGCTGCAGAGTTTCTCAAAGACACTAATGCTGACTGTGTGTCTGTAACTGGCAGCTGAGCCCCATCAATCATGCTAAGCAAAGCTTAAGCCCCCACTGAAGGATAAAAAGGCGAGATAGACCGCGCCTGTCAGCTTTGCAGCTCGCCACATCCCGCCTCCTCTCAGAGGGACTTCAAAGCATGACCTAAAAAAGGGGCAAAATGCCTGGAGGCACTTCCATTCCAGCAAGAGGAGCAGTGCTGGGTGGGACTGGTCGTTGTGCACAGGTGCCATTAAGCATCTGGTTTAACACAAGGTGGGCAGGGCTGTGATGGACACAGATCCCAGAGCTGCAAATCTTCCCTAGGGTCTTATGCCCAGCAGGACATCTATCCTTCTTATTCATCCCCTGTGGCTTGTGGCAGCTGCTCTGGCAGCTATTCCAGTTTTCATAGCGCCTGATGAGGCCAGCTGTGATCTTTACAGAGAGACAGGGCAGGGGTAGTAATACAAGAAGGATCTGCAGCACTTTCCTGTGGTCTTGCTGGTAGCAGTGAATCATTGGGCGGGAGGGGGAAATGAAAATTGTTGCACCTATTTGCTATTTTTAGTCCTTATTGTGCTTTCTGACTTATTTCCCAGTATATCCTCTCCTCAGAGTTAACTCTAAACCATGATTCATTCTTGCAATAAGCTAAAGAGAGCTCTGTACCCCTTACTTTGTAAAGCCCATGCAACTCTGATTTTCTGCAGCAATTTTCAGTGTCCCTTCAAAACACGTCCATGTTCCAGCTCTGGGCACACTACCCAGTGATGGGATTCAGCATTTGGATACATGGAAAGACATCAGCCTCCCTTCTCTGCTTTTCTGTTTGCAGGAAGAATTGCACATGCTCTTTTTCCCAGAGCTTCCCACTGTTGTGTCATTTGTCAGCTACAGCCCCTGCACCCCTTTCAGCACCACAGCTGTCCTGGATCCAGATCTTATTCTGTTGCTATTCACATGTGGTTCATGTGAGCCCAGCTTCCCCAGCAAGGCTGCTCTGAGCCCTCTCAGAACCTCAGAACTGTTAGGGTTGGAGATCCCTAACAAGGAAGGGTCACCTGGAGCAGGTGACACAGGAACCTGTCCAGGTGGGTTTTGATTGTCTGGAGAGGGAGACTCCATCACCTCCCTGGACAGCCTGTTCCACTGCTCTGCCACCCTCAATGTAAAGAAGTTCTTCCTGATGTTGAGGTGGAACTCTTTGTGTTTTAGTTTATGGCCACTGCTCCTCATCCTGTGGCCAGGAACCACTGTAAAGAGTCTGGAACTATCCTCTTGACACTCACTCTTGAGACACTTATGTGCAGTGAGAGATACACACACTCCTGGTGACTCCCCCCCCTCCTCCTCCTCCTTTACCCCTCCAAACAGTCCTTTGGTGCTTATCTACTTCAGCCCCAGAGGCTTTCATTTTAAGGCCAGACCCTTCATTAAAAATACCATCCCGAGAAAAAAAACCTCTTTTTGCATTATCATCACCCATAACCAGTCCTGGAATGCAGTCAAAGATCTTTTCTTCCTCTTTCTGAAGCTGTTAAGAGTGGCTTTTTCATAACTGGTTTTAGTTTCCTGCAGCAACCCCCCTAAATCAGAATTTACCAGGTGCTGGAAAGCTGCTGTTCGCTCCTTATCTTCTTTTCTGCTCGCCTCAGGTGCTCCCTGCACCTCAGCCAGCCAGTATCAGGAAGGCTCAGCAGCCGAAAGCTAATGGCCCAAATCCTTGTCATTACGTGGCGGGAGAGGCGGATGCTGCTCCCCAGCACTCTTCAGAGATACCACTGAAGCAGGCTCTGTGTGTCCTTCCACATCCTGAGATGATGAAGTATGATAAGCTGGTGCCTGAAGTTTTCTCTTTTTCCTTGGATCAACTACTGATCTCGGCCCACAGATTCTTCTTAATCCTGGTTTGGTTTTTTTCCACATTTCCTTTGGATCTTTGCCTCACAGTACCCGTTAGGCTTTTTCCAGGGCAGTGGTTAGGACAATAACAGGCAGAGGTACTAATCTGGGGAGGGATTTGCATTAGGAACTTGCTTTAGATAGACCCATCCCTTTCCCTGAAGCATGGTGAAACCTCCGTGCATCCACAAACAGCTCAGCAGCGTGTCAAGGAGTGGAGAGAGCCAGCAGCAGTGCTGTTATACTCACCCAGAGGTGGTAAATCAGCTCATAAATTTGCAGCTGTGAGGCCAGAAAACCTCACAGCAGAGATGGAGAGCAGAGATAGAGCAGGAAAAGGATGTGACAGAGAGCACAGCAGAATTTCTTGGTAGAATTATGCAGTGTGGCACAACTCAGTTTTCTGTGAAGCTCATCACTTTTAACATTCAGGTCTAGGAATTGCCCTCACCTTCCTGCTCAGCACAGGACATGAAGTCATGTCTGGTGAGCCCCAAAGAAGACAACAGTGCTATGTGGTTGAGCCCCAGACTCCTCTCCTAACAGAAGTTTGGGATATCTTTTTGAAGTCTCTGAGCTGTGGGGGAAGCACCCGTCAGCTGCTCCCATGCTAAACACCCGTCGAGTCAGGAAGATGTAGTTTGCTTCTGGTTTGAATGGATCATGCCCCAAATTCCAGTCACCAAAAGTCATTACTCTTCCACCTGCTCACAAGGAGAGCTTTCCAGCTGAAGCCCTCCTCAGAAGGGAACCCACTGGTGTCTTTGCTCAGCTGAGTGATGTTTCCTAGCTTCTACCTCTAGGTGAAAGTTTTCCAGGCCTTAGGAAATCTCATCTTCATGACCTTCATTCAGGTTCTCCACCTCTTCTTAATTTTTTTTTTTTTTAATGCTAACCTGAAGGTCTCCAAGAAGTTTCAAATATTCTCAGGAAAACTCGTCCATACATGTTAGCCTGTGCATGGATTTTAAGAGCATTTTAACATAAGCAGCTGCTGCTCTTCTTTACTCTCTATCAGATCAAAGTTTGTTTATTTATCACTGGCTTTGTTTCCAGACACAAGAGGCAAATATCTAATGAGCATGTTTACCTCTTCTGCATCATTGGTGATGATTGAAACCAACCATCCCTGTCTGCTAACAGTTCTGTACCATGTTTACAAATTCCATTGTTCCTAAGAGATGCCAAATATTCTCATTGCTCTCATCCCATTGTCCTTAAATTTTCTACTTTTAGCTACCCATGTCAGTTTGGACAAACAGTAAGTTCATGGTTAACAAGTTTTTCTCCGTTTCTGTCAAATACTTGGGAGGGAGGTTTAATATGTGACATCCTCCAGACACAAACGGGGCTGCGCGACGTTCAAGACTCAGCAGACACCTAACAAACATCTCCTCACTGTGCACTCGGATGGATGAAATTAGGCAGCAGCCCTGGGAAAGCTCTTTGACCTGTGCTCCTCATCCAGTCCCTCTCACATGCCCCCAAATGCACAGCAGTCCCCCTGCAGCCTCTGTGTCACACAGGCCTGTGCAGAGCCTGCAGAGAGCCCCTCTGTGCAGTTTAGCCAAGAGCCCAAGGTTTCTTTGGGAAGGGATTTTTTTTACTTTGTTTTGGGGTTGTTTTCAGTTTCTAGCTAAAGATGCATCTCTTCAGTTTGTGCAAGGAAAGAGATAATTCCCTCCTTCCCTTTCTCTGTCAGCCTTCTGGCCCTGCAGAACGATGAGGCAGTGCTGGTCCTGTGCTACGCAGTGCTGGAGGGAAATTGCCTCTCATCGATGCTCACCATGGCCTGGAAGGAGATGGAAAAAAGAGTCCTTGGGTTCGGAGACTCGGTAAAGACACCAGTGTCCACCTCTGGCCCCCACTGTGTGCAGCCCACCTCCCGAGAGAAGCTGACCTGGGTGACCAGGGAGGCAGGCTCCAAGCCAGGAACATGGGAACTCCCCAGCCTCCTCTTTGGGGAGGTTCTGAGTCTCCTGTTCCCCCCTGACTCCCCGCTGGACCCACCCCAGGTGTGTGACAACCTTGGGCGGCACCACATGGACCTGTGCCCCGACTGCGCGTTCTGCTCGCTGAAGAGGGAGCAGTGCCGGAACATCGAGACCCTGAACCGCGTCCACTGCGACTCGGACGACTTCGTCACCTACATCAACCCCGAGATCTCAGCCCAGCACAGGCACTTAGAGGGCAAGGTACCCAGTGAGCTCTGTGTCCTGCTGCCCTTGCAGGAGGAGCCTGGACTGGGAGCTGGGGGAGAGGAGGAAGAAGCACGGCTCACTTTATCCCACCCCTTTGCAGTCCAGGTCCTCACAGACCCCGGAGGACTACAACGTGGACTTTTTGAGAGGGATGAGGATGGAGTACTGGTGCAGCCGGATGGCCATCTATGGCTGTAAGGACCCTGCTGTGACCTTCTGGCTGAAGGCAGAGTATGACATCTTCCCAGAGGTGGATGGCTCAGGAAAGGTGGGTGACTATCAGTGGATGTCCCATCCCTCCTCCTCCTCTTTTTTCTCTGACCTTCATTCTCTTGTCACCAGATCTGTGACTCGAGCGGGGTTCAACATCCCAACTACTGCATGTTCAAGAGCTACCAGTGCCTCCTGAAGAGTATCTACAACGAGAGGGTGAGAAGCAGCTACGCTGCCTTTTGCACAGCCTGCTCTTCCATGGCTGGCCCCTCCACAGCCAGCCCCGAGCCCCTGCTGGACTCACTGGCCCACTGCTTTTCCTTCTAGGAGGACAGAATTGGGTGTGTTTGGGGGAGGTGGGGAGACAAATACACAACTGGGGAGTCATTGCTGGGTGAGATTTGCACAGACAACATGAGGGATGATATCCCTGTATATCCCTGAAGGGCAGGATCTCCCCCATCTGCTAAGCAGTAGCAAAACCCCAAATCACCAGAGCAGGACAGAGGACTGGCCTGTATCCTAGCAAACACACAGTTCAGCTGTCAGTTCAGCTGTCAGTTCAGCTGGTCCTCCCCTCTTCCCCTGGTGCTCCCGTCATCCCAGCGTCCAGGTGCTATCCACCATGGAGGTCTCTTTCCTTGGGGAAGGATGGGCAGCGGTACCACCCCACGAAGCCAGGCTCTCCTTGCAGGTGTTTCGCGTGAAATGCAGGCGTAACAAGACCTACCGGGTGCTGAGTGCGAGGGAGGGACGCAAGGAGGTGCAGCTGTGGCAAGAGAGGTTCCACAGCCTCTCCAGGAAGCAATCAAAAAATGATTAAAGTTTGTAAAGACCTTCAAGATAGTCAAGGCCTTTGACCAAATACCACCATGCCCTCTAAACCATATTGCAAAGCGCCACTTGTTTTCTGAACACTTCCGGGGTGGTGATTCCACCACTTTCTTGGGGAACGTGTTCCAATGCCTGACCACCCTTTCAGTGAAGAAACTTTTTTCCTAATACCTGCCTGAACCTCCCCTGGCGCAGCTTGAAGCCATTTCCTCTTGTCCTGTCGCTGGTTGCCTGAGAGAAGAGACCAGCTCCCACATGGCTGCAGCCTCCTTTGAGGGAGTTATAGAGAGTGATCGGGGCTCCCCCTGAGCCTCCTTTTCTCCAGGCTAAACAACCCCATCTCCTTTTGCCTCTCCAGACCCTTCACAGGCTTTGCTGCCCTTCTCTGGACACACTCCAGCACCTCAGTGTCTTTCTGGAAGTGAAGAGCCCAGAACTGGACACATGCCTTTTATGAATCCATCCAGGCTAGGACAGATTCCCTGGTAGTGCTGTGCGATTGCACTTAGGATAGCTTGTTCCATAACATTCCCTGGCACTGAGATCAGACTGAATGAGGGAGCCTCACTGTGGCAGCTGCTGGAACTCCTCTTGGAAACATTTCTCCAGCCAAAGGAGCAGCTGAGCACTGGAAAGGCATTTCTTGCATGTCCAGAGGCTAGAGGGACCAGAGACAGGGACTCTCCCGATCCCAAACACAGCATGTGAGCAAGAAGCTTTTGTGTGCACTTTGCTTTCCACTGCGGCTGGGTTTTTTCCTCAAGCTTAGTGGTTTATTTGGCCTGTGTCCTCCAACCCCCCACGCGGAAAAATAATTCAAACCACAGCAGCCCACGGCGGCTGGCGGGAGGCTGCTGCGGGGGGAGCTGCTGGCACCCGGGCATCTGCCCTGCGGCGGCTCTGCCGTCCCTCGGCGGCACCTGTGCAGCTCCACGAGGTGCCGGCACTGCCTGCACTTGAGGGAGCAGCACCATTGGAGCCTGCAGCTGCAGCACTCCCCCGGGCCCGGGCAGCCCTGCTGCCCTGCTGCCCTGCTGCCCTGCTGCCCTGCTGCCCTGCCCTGCTGCCCTGCCGCAGCACCGCGGCTCGCTGCCGGCCCTGGCCGGCCATGGCCGCTTGCGCTGCCGGCCGGAGGTGCCGGAGGGGCCGTGCCGAGGGTCCCGCTCGCGAAGGCCGGGCTGGCCCGCAGGTAGACCAGGCCGTGTAGGGCTTGAAGCGAGAGCTGGGCATCAGGAGCTGCCGGGAACCGACCCGCTTCGGGAAAACCTCTGTTGTCCCCTCAGACTTTTCCTTGAGGATGTTGCCCGTGTGGGGAGGGGAGGCATGAGCTTCCAGCAGGCTCGCACCTCGCAGGAGCCCGACACGCCATGGCACTCGCACTCCGCCTTCATGTGGGCCAGGGGAGCCTGCGGAGCAGGAGGCAGCTGCCAGCCTGACCAGGGACACCTTCCCAGCACCTCCCCTGTGCTGCTGTTCCCCCAACACCGCCCATGGGGCTGGAGATCAGGGGCGGGAAGGGGAAGGGAAAGGGCAAAAGTGTCTTTTTAATCCAGGACAGTATGAACTGAAGGAGATCCACTCTGTGGGAAACAAGATGGTTTGGGTCTGTAAGATAAATCCCTGATGCAGAGAGAGGGATGGGGAGCTGTTCTGACCTGCAGGGCTGCGGGGAGGGGAACAGATCTGGCCAGAGTGGAGGATGCTCAAGCGACCAGATCTGACTGCGGCCCTGCAGATGTCTGTCTTTATTGAAGCAAGGCTGGAGGGGCAGGGAAGCCCTTCAGAACAGAACACAGTAAATTATTTCCTGAATCATAGCTGGGATCTGTGCGGAAAAGGAGACTGCACAGAACTGAGTAGGGGAGGCTGGGACTCCCCTCCACACAGGCAGGAGCTGGCTCAGGATAATCAGCACAGTGCTGGGCTAGGAAAGGCAGCAGGATGCAGACTGCTGTGGGAGCCCCTGGCTGCCCTGAGGTGCCTGTTGGGATGTGGGGGCTGGACTGAGTTCTGCTGGGCCAGGGAGAAGCCCTGCAGCCAGGCTCACTCCCAGCCTGTGTTCATGCCCTTTCCTTCCTCCCAGCCTCATTGCTGGGCAGGTTCATGAGCGCTCGGCTGGAGGAGACACTGCGGCTCCTCTCAGGGCTGTCCATGAAGGCCTGAGAGAAGGCAATCCCATAAAACAGGTTATTAGAGCAGCCTGACCACTGGAAACCTGCAGAGGGAAAGCAGCCTTGTGACAAGGAAAGAGAAGCCCTGAGAGGATCTCCCAAAGACCTGTGGAGAATGAAAGCGTCTCCTTTTCCAGCCTGTCTCCCTCATGGACCTTCCCCTCTGCCATTTACTCCCAGCTTCTTCCTTCACCTTCAGAGCTGACTCCTCGGACCTTGCGGTTGCAGCCACACTCGTGCAGCTCCCCCGGCTGCAGGCAGGGCTCACAGCAAAAGCAGTGCCGGCAGCCGAGATGGCGTGGATGAAAGCAGACTCCTGTGTGCCTGCAGCGGGACAAGAAGTGGCACCAGTCTGCGGGGGGCAAAGGCACTTATGGGGCAGAGTGTGGGAAAAGAGGCTGTCACTGCATGCAGGAAGGATGCCTTCAGATGGAGACTGCTCGGGAGAAATACATGTCGGGATGTTCACCCAGTGCAGCTGTTCCCAACGCTGGGAGTCAGTAAGTGCCATGGCTCTGTGGCAGCGTGGGTGGCAGGGTCAGGGAGAAATTTACCAGTCTGCAGAGCTGGCACCCAGGACAGTCCAGTGGGACCAAAAAGCCAAATGTGGCCAAACAGGAAGAAGTTTCTCCAGAATGCTAGTGTGTGTGAGAGCATTCAGTTCAGTTTGCTCTGTGCTGACATGTTAGCACGTGGAAGAAGGCACTGGCCACTCTGGGGATGGGTCCAGTGCAGCCCTTGCACACCAGCCCAGGAAAGGCTGATGCGTCAAGGGGACAGTGGGCATACTGGAGGGACACCACGCCAAGCCTGCCCTCGCTGACCTTGGATGGTGGCCTTGCCGAAGACCTGCAGCCCCTGCAGGGTGGAGCAGTTCCAGCGGCAAGAGTGAAACTGGAGCTGGCACTCGAGGACAGCCAGCTCCGCACCTCGCTTTGTCACCTCCATGGCTTCCACTGCCACTGGCAAACACAGACCTGCTCTTCTTCCAACCCCCTCAGGCCATCACAGCCCCTGGGGTCCCAGAGGACTGCCTGCAGGGAAGTCTGCTTGGCCAGGGACCTGTGGGGCAGGGCAGAGGTTCTGTTGCAGATGGGCTAGAGCCAGAGCCTCATGTCTGCAGGACTAACCCTCTCTAGCCATATCTTAGAGCAGAAATGGGGCAGGGAAAGGGGCTGTGGCCATGTTGTCTGTGAATTGGACATTCTTGCTGCCCATTCTGGTCTGCACCTCTTCAGCCTTACCATCCCTCTCCCTCCATGCTCCCAGAGATGCCTCTTCTGCTTTTTGGTTGCCCAGATTCCTTCTTCCACCCTGTTCTCACCCTATTTTCTAGGAGACAGCACCTCCCTAGGTGGCTTACCAAACCAGACAATACAAGCACAAAGCATACTTACAGCCAGGTCACTGCAGTGACGTGCTGCACGTGGATCAGCATCAGATGCAGCCACACCAGCTCCATCCTGTCCCTGACAAAACTTCACCACCTTCAACTCCAGCACTGCAGCTGCCTGAATCCCCTTCTGTGGCTTTCCACAGCCTCTGCCCAACAGCGGCTTTCACATCAGCTCCAGCCCAGCACTGCAAAGTAGGAGTAGCTCCAGCCCTGGGCAGTGACCGTGGGCTGTCCAGGTGTGCCTGCCAGCATCAGAGACCCTGCAGCCTGCAGAACCCTGCTGGGTTGGTCCTGCGAGGTCATCCACACCAGTGCCACAGCTTGGGCAGCATGGTGGGAGAACTCTGAGCTAGGGCTCTGGGGTGGGCATCCATCACAGGGAGCTCACACGGATGGGGACAGCATCTGTGTCACACCCATGGCCTGTGCCATCCTGTCAGGAGATGATGTGGTTGCCTACCTCCACAGTCCAGTCACTTCCTCAGCAGGAGGCAGCCCAAGACCCGCTCAGCAGCAGACAGAGCCTTCCACAGAAGAACCAGAAGCACCAAGCAGCTGTTGCCAGACCCACCAGCTCGTCACTGCTTTGTCACCAGACCTTTTGGGGACACAGAGAGTTTCCCTGCAGTGACAGCTCATGGGAGCAGAGAGGGGAAGACCTGCTACTTCCCTCATCCACATCCACTGTTCTTGAAGACACTCCCTCATCTGCCTCCTCCAGGCTGGAGATTGTTCTTTTCTACCCTGCAGCCCACATAGCTGCAGCAAGCAGACACAGCCCAGCTGCTCCCTGCCTCTCTTAACTCTTTCCCTGGCAAGTCTCCCTTCACCTCCCTCATTTTCTTCCCCAAGGTCTCTGCTTCCCCATGATCAGCCCTTGCCCTTCTCCTAGGAGGCACAACAGGGTGGCTGGCACCCTTCTCACTGGGCACCCCTTTCCTAAGAGCCCCTGGGAGCCCAGGAAAATGTGAGCTGTGTGACCAGAGAGCTGAAATGTCCCGGGACAAAAGACTGCCATTTCCCCAGCCAACCTGGGAAGGGCCAGCTGTTCCCACCGCCTTGGAAGGTAAAACTCCTCTGCAGACACAGGTTTCTGCTTTTCCTGTCTGAATCATTCAGAAAGTGAAGCTTCCATAAGGGGATTCACCCCTTTGCTCTGCTCTCCCACATTTTGCTGCACAAAGAAGTCAAGAGCATTGTGGTTTATCAGTCATCCTTTCAGACCTGAGCAGCCTCTCTCTTGTAGCGTGCATTTCACCTCTTTCCTTGCCTTCCCACCTGCCTGCATCCTTCCTCTTGTTGGGTTCCTTGCTCCTACTTTCTGGAGCCAGCACTGCGGGGTGGCAGGCATGTTGGGATTTGCAGCATCAGGGTGTAGCCTCCAACACACACCCCAGTAATCTGGTCTTACCTGCTGCTCGCTCAGACAGCGGTGAGGAAATGCCGGGGGTTGAGCTGCTCTTCCCCACGAGCTGAGCCTCCAGGAGACAGCAAGGGGCAGATGTGTGAGCCCACCCGGCTGAGGGGACACAGAGTTCGTGGGCTGAGGCTCCGAGATCCAGGGAGGTGAGTGAACTTGGCTGGGTGAGGATGCTGTGGGGCTCTTGGGCTGGGCTGGGTGCCATTGTGTCCTTGTCTTCTCACACATGGAAAAGCCAGGACTGCCAGGCTCAGCCAGGTGTGTGCTCATGTGTGTGAGGGGTGAGGGCTGCAGGGGAGGGGGGAGTTCCCAGAGAATGTGTCAGACACTCCTTAGGCAAAGGACACCCCCTGTGGCATATCTGCAAGCTTTTATCAGTAACAACACCTTGATGGGAACTGAAGAGACACAAAAAGCCATGAGAACAAAGATCCCAGCAACTAGCAAGTGAGAAAAGGGGTCTGGTTAAAAAAGAGAGGCACTGAAAAGAAGCAGGGTGAGCTCAGTGGTTCGGGTGCTATTGTGCCCTCCAAGGATTTATGAGTAGCAGAAACATATATATCCCTTGGTGTGTCATTCCCTGAATGAGGAGTCGGTAACAGCAGAACAAGGGAGGCAGGGAGTGAGAAAATCAAACACCAGCAGGCAAGGGCTGCAGAGAAAGGGAGCCCACAGCAACTTCCCAGGGCAGCTGTTCTTGGGGCAGGACGACAGTGGGATTAGGAGTGTCGCCATGTCTTGTGTCTTCTTCCAGGTGTGCTGAGACTGGCAAAGCAGAAATAGGACTCGAAGCAACAGAGTGCCAGATGGGCTCTGCACAAGGGCAGCTCCCTTCCCAGCTACACGTGGCAGTGCCAGGTCACAGATGTGCTGGTAAATCAGCCCTTGTACTTTCATAGCACTCTGCCTCCTGTAGCCTTGAACACCAGGGACTAAGGTTCGTGGCAAACATGCCTTTGCTTGCCACAGATAATGACACCTCTCTAGAGCCTGGTTCTTTTTGGGATCCTGCCACATGCCAGTGATGCACAGCTGGGCCCCCGGGCAGGAGTTCAATCCCAAAGCCCCCTAGACCACGGGAGTGACAGGACTCCAAGTCTTTGTGCAGGCTAGCAATTAAATCAACTTGGCTCTCACTTCCCATATTTCACTTCTACCTCCTGTTTAGCAATATTTTGGGGAGAGGGACATTTTATTTTCCCTCTGTCAGTCCTGGGGGTGGCTGAGTTAGCAAGACAAGCAAATATTTGGCACTATGACCCAGGGCAGGTCTCCTCCGTTGCAAGGACACCTGGGTACTGCTTCTTTCATGATTGCATTTGCTGTTGTAGGATGTGGTTTAGCTTATCAGCCCTTGATAACAAAGTTCATGCTTTGTAGCCAGGCAGAAGTGCATCAGGAAGTGAGAAAGGAGAAGAGACAAACTGCAGCATGCCAGATGTAGAATCAGCCGCAGCGCGGTAGGGGACAGCTGTGATTTGGATGAAGAGCCCGCCCGGTTCTGTTTCGATCCAAGCTGCTTTGTGGCTTTGGGGCCCGAATCGAGACCTCTGCAGAAGGAGCAGTCACCGAGCAGCAAGCCAGCCGGCATCCACACTTGGCTCTTCTCCAGCAGTGAGGTAAGGCGGGCGGGAACATCTGGAGAGCCGGATGGTCTGGCACCTTGGGCAGCGGTCCCCGTGCGCTGCTGCCCGTGTGCTGCGGGGCACTGCAGCACATCTGCCCCTCATCAGTGGCCCCGTGGACCTAGGGGTGCAAGGCACATCTCTGTATTTACTCAGACTGAGGCTTTCCTTGGGATCCTGTGATACTAAAAGCACGGGCAGCCTGCAGAGCTTACTTGCCAAGGTGCCCACCGTAGGAGCCCTCTTCCACGGGACCCTCAGGAGGTGAAGAGGGGTAGCATCTCTAAGGAGGAGGCAATAGCAGTGTGATCAAACCTCATGAGTTAAATACAAAGGTCTCAGCTTTTATATCATGTTTCTCTCTTTAAAAACAAGCCATCCTAAGATTTTAATGTCTTCAAAAATCTAATCAAATCCTCACAAAAATCTAATTTCTTGAGTAGAAAAACAGATGAAAAGTGGGGCTTGAATATCACCTACAGCAGGTAAAAAGCACCCACATTTATTAAAAAAATCTATCTCCAATTCCTAAAGTCGGGTATGTTTTCTGAGGTTTGACACATTTTTGTTGTTTCCTCTTTGATTTCAGAATAAGCAAGCGAGCTCATGCAGTTTGTGTTTTAAGTTCTGCACCCCAATCCCACATTTGCTCTCTGTATTCTCACAGGAGCCCCAAAACTCCTCATGGTTTTAGTGGCAAGCCACTAACAGAAACACTGACCCTGCAGCATCCTCATAAGTATTTTTCCAGCTCTCTTTTTCCACCTCATTTTTCAGCCCCATACTCAGATTCTTCATCATTTTTGTAGTGCTTGGAGGCCGTGACTCCTAGTGAGACAGGAGAGAGAGGATTCTCAGGACCAGGCAGCAAGATGCCAGGCACACATCCCATCTCAGGGCATGCCTGCCTGTCCTAGACCTAAAGTACATTTAGGGCTTCTCACCCCAAAAAAGAAAAAAATCAAAATCCCACTAATTTTGCAAGTCTTAGAAGTTGATGGTATTCAGGGGCTCAAATAAGAGGGAAAAAAAATACTTCCTCCACCTCCTGGGACAATAAGGTCAGTCACCAAAGAGAAAGTATCTTCAGGATTTAAAGAGAGCATCTTGTTGTGAGGAGGGGGGTTATTCAGCTGTGGTACCACTGCCTCCTTACACAGCTGGTGGTTTGAGATCTCTTGGCAGCTTTTGTGCAGAGCAATGAGTACGTGGGGTTCTTTTAGAGGCAGCCACAAGGAACATGCCTTTTGACTCTCAGACATTAACCAGCAAGGATAATCAGTCTCCCTGCTGCCAGCCTGCTTTACCTACCCCTAGCTTTCCTTTTTAGAGAGGGACAGTCAAAGCAGGACCTCCAAAGGTCACTGGAGAAACTCTGCACACCCACAACTTTATCTTTGCAATGACTGTGTCTGCATACATCTCCTTTCTCATGTGTCTTGGTCACTGTATCTGTTATGGCAAGTCTGAGACTATCAGCTCAGCTTCCATACCAACACCACAGCAGACTCTTTCTTCTGTGTTTCCATCTACCCATGAGAAAAAATCCCCTCAAAACCCCAATCTATTTTCTGCTCTCAGTGATGTTTGCTGCCAGTTCAGAACTGTGCTGTTCAGCGTGTTGAAGGCTGAAAGGCTAGAGTATGTAAGGAAAGACCACTCAGAAAAGAAAGAAAACCTGGTGGAGGGTAAAAAAATGAAGAGGTCTCTTTCTCTGGTATTCATGTAATGAAAGCCTGGGAGATTTCCACAGCAGAAACTTTCTTTATGGGAAGTTCAAAAAGGACTGTCTCTGGTCAAAACAGTAGTAGGATCAACCATGGAGGAAGGAAAGAGTGTCTAAAGCCACACGGCTCCTACCCAGAGGTCAAAAATAACTGAAGGGTGGAAGATCTGACTAATTGTGCCATAGAAACCTTTGCTTAAAACAGCTCTTAAAGGCAGACTCAATTTAAGAAAAGGCTCTTGGGGGGTTTCAGACCAGGGAGCTTGATGGTTTTGCTGAACAAATTAGTAGAAGC